AGGTGTGATCGGCATGCCACATAACAACTTCAACGTCGCTGAAGATGTTTGCGTGCTTTCAAACAAATTGCATGGTTCCCCAATGTTATAGGATGATGTTTGTCCAACTCGAGTTGGTTCTGTTAGCGCCATTTTCGCCGGGACTCTTCACCAAGCCATGTTTCTTGCAGTAGGCCACCACCTCCTTGATGTAGCTCCTCGGAGCTGGTAAGGTCCATAGGGTCAAAGGTCTGACATGGAGTTTGCATGGAACTTCTTTGGGCAAAGTCCAGCTATATAACACAATATAATTTGTTGAAACTGTTTAGTACAAATTGCGCCAAGGATCGAAGACCACTTCAACTCATTCTTCATTTGCTCGATGGTGAACCAACCACGTTTGACCTTCTGTGTATCTTCCTTCTTGCGCTCAATGATCTTGACCACTTGGGACACAAACTTTTCCTTGCAGGGATAAGTGCCTGAAACAGTGGCTAAATTTAGCCTCTGTTTTGGGGCTCTATTTTGGAACATAGGGTGAACAAAAACTTTGTTCATGGTGCAACTTGAACCCCTCAAGATATCTATAGATGGTTGCATCAATAAGAGTCTATAAAACCATATGGCCATATGGGTCCTTGTTCAAGTCATACTGCTCGAACATGACACGAAGTTCATCTCTGTCTTTGCCCCCTTTGAGCCACAATTCATGAACTGCCATAGGGACGTTGAGCTTACCAGAGGGCTTCTTTTCGCAGAGCCTGCGCAACTGTGCATCGATCTTCTTGTAGCGCTTGACGGCGTCTGCAGCATCTAGCTCTGCCTTAGCCAGTTTTTGCGTTGGAGTAGCAGTTGTTGCAATTAATTTTAGCGTGTTGCTGACATCTATTTGTTCATGCTTCTATAGTAAGTTCAAGAACCCAACATATAAAGGGCACACGTACTATACAAGGTCGCCTGTGTAAAAAACAACGCACATTCCACGAGAGGTTGAAAGGGCTTAAAAACGAAAGGACTTGTGACACCTTTTGTTTTTAAGCCCTTTCAACCTCTCCTGGTTCAATCCCGTGGCCAGGAAACGTCGGCTTCAGGCTGCTCAGGCTTCGATTTGGGCTCTGAGGGGAGGGAGCCTTTGGAAGTAGGTGTTGGCACTGAAGTGCGAGTAGTCGGGGTCTTGGGCGTCCCGGAAACCGACTCACCCCTGCTCAACGTATCGATCGTTGAGAGCGCAGCCGCAAGTTGTTTCTGAAGATCCCGCACCACTGGGTCATCCTAAGGAACCGCGTGAACACACAAACAGATTCAACTTTAAATGATACAACGTTCATCCACCAGATTATATATATAAGGTTCACCTTTGCTGTATCATCGTTGATCATCGGTGTCTGAAATATCATTGAGGTTTTTACCTTGCATGACCTGGGTGTCTTGCGTACATATATATACTATAGTGGTTGGCCCAAACATTAGTGCAAAGCACCTCCACACAGCAGAAGGACATTATAAATAACAGATGGAAGCAGTGCGAGTTTCAGTCTCCGGTGTCTCTGCTGCAAAAGGTGGCTTCGCCTTGCTCTTCACCGATGTCATGCGAAGCTCAGCAGCAGCATCCTGAGCACAAGGGGTTCTGTATGAGACAACATGCCATTAGCAGTGAGGAAGCAAAAAATCCTTGCCATGTGGATGTTTGAAGTTAACGTAAGCGATTGGAAGGTCAAGATCACATATGGCAATATTTCTGTGCAATGCCTCTTCCAAAGTAAACCAGTTCTCACATGAGCATTGACAATTTGGTGATCACACACATCGGTATAAGAGGAACAAACATACGCACAACCCCACCCATCAATCGCCTGGCGCGCTTTCTTGACAGTTGCCAGGCTTTTGACTGGAGTTGTTTTGGTCGAAGGCGGCGGGGGTCGTTTGTTCGCAGCCTCCTGCATCTGGGCTTCTGTAGCCTCAGCCGGCAGGACTTGTTGGGTGGAGGGCACCATTGCAAAAGCTCTAGATGTGCCACAATACTTGTTTGTGGGTTGGGCTCCACGTTCTATACGAAGCAACGGGGACGGTGTCCTCTTCAAAAGCCATGGGCGTCTCAACAGGCTGTGCAACCTGAGAGGATGCATATACACATGCGCACACACTGGATGCCATATACAAGTGTTGGACCTATCTTGCAACCAGCTTTCACATATCATAAAACATTGATGGTACTCATGGGGCCCCCTTCTTGCCCGTACACCACACTGATAGTTTATTTAAATGTGATGGATCAAGTGGCATGCTCCTGCGACTCCATGTGCGCAAGATCTTTTTCCATGGCCTGGTGGCACTGCAGAGACACCCACCATGTAATCCCAACACATGGAAGTGGATGCTGGAAAGACCTGAAGACACCCAACAGCAAAGGAACCTGGTTGCATGGACACTCAACAAACCAGCCCCATCATGAGCGTGTGCCTCCAGTTGGGCCCGTTGCTTGGCCACCTCTTCCTTGATCTTCAGCAGGTTGTTGTTACCCGCCGCCAAAGATTCACAGCTCCACATGTTAGATTTCAATGGATGGGGCATATTGACACAAGGGCTAATCCCAACACACTTTCAAATCTTGGTCACTACAAATCGGCAAGGACGAGGGAGACTCTCACAAAAACTGGCCTCAATCCTGCGCACATGCAAGTCAGGAGCATGACACTTGTCACTTGATCAAACAGAGTCGCACTATTTCTTCAAACCACCAATGAGGAGTTGTAAATCCGAGTGAATTTCCAAACCAGGCATCGGGCGTGGGCAAGTTGAGCATTATAGAAACAGACCAATTCCAAACCAAAAGGCCTTATAGGGAGGTACCTTGCCCTACGGGAAAACTACGTAATTTTCTACGGATTTTTATGGGTCATCCACGGGCAAATTATGGGTTATCTACGGCTACGGATTTTTTTACGGGTTCCCTACGCCCAAAAACCTGGTTTTTGAAGATCTGGACAAAATCTGTCTTGCAGCGAATTGCAGGTGACATACCATGGTCCTACAGCGAGTCATGGAGGAGACGGCGCGGCGCATTCAATTTCCTTAAGAATTTGTTGGAAGCAAAAGTGGTTTCCATTCAGGTGGCACTTTCAAATGACGATTGCCATACAAGTACTTGAGGCATTCGTCCATGCCACAATCAACCCAAAGATCTGTAAATGCTTGTTCTTGGTAACAAGCCAAAGGGTTAAAGGACTCGGGAACCGGTGGGAATGTCCTGCACCCAGTGCTTTGGAGGTCATTCACAATGCGAAGGATGCGCAATCCAAACTTGTACGGGTACGTCCTTGGATCAAAATCTGCAACACAGCTGACCAATCACCAGCATGCACAGGCTTTTCAAACCAATTGGAAATTTCAGAATGGCTGCAGTGGATGGGTTTTGACTTCCTCCATGTCCAACCGTCCAACCACCGATACATGGCAGAGCACAGCCGTTTGCCTTTGGTCATGTATATATTTCACAATCCCTGTCATATTTCTGACCCCCTTGCCGGCTTTTGTATATACTTATAATTGTATCATTTATATATGATGTAAGAGTTGGCAGTAGAACTAAAACCATATGCCCCAAACCTATGAGCAAACAGTTAATGTCCTCCAATATGTGTTGGATTGTATTCCCCACTGTGGCTGTACCGCGAAACAGTTTTACCACTAGTGGTTGTGGTTGCGGTGGTGGTTATCAACAGATGCTTCACATGTTCAGGCCCTTCCTCAGTCCATAAAGCATGGGGCATGGCAATTTGAGTTTATGTTTGTTCGGGCATGTCAAAACTCGATCCTATAGCTTGAAATATGAACTCACACACCCGCGTCTACAATCCCTTGTAACAGCAAGGTTCGTTTGTATAGCAGCCTTGGAAAACCCACCGTTCATTAGAGCTAAGCCACTGGGAAGCTTTGAGCTGCTGCTTGCGACCCTGAAAAGTCTTCTTTCCAGACTTGGACACCCCAGTCACCGCAGTCTTGTGCTTGTCGTAATCCCGGCCACGCATCGATGCCCAGCTGAGCTTTCCCCGGTTCAGCAATCCCACTTTGGGACTACTGCTCCAAGCAACATGGCGTTTGGGAGTTTTCGCACCGTAGTGTCCCATCCACCATCGGGCACTCCATGCCTGAGGATGTCCAGATTAACGCTTTCTAAAAAGGTTAACATGCAGATTTGGTCTAATTCCCAGATTGAAACGGCAAAACAAGTCCATGCGCTATAGTCAGACTCCACCCCATACTGTTGGCAAAGGTGCTCGGAAGATGCTAAAGGTCCACATGACTCTTGGGTGGAAGCGTAGTAATGAATTTGAGGGCTGCTCAACCAGCCAGCATCCGCCCATCACCTCCACCAAGTAAATGAGGAGGCACATCCTCAGCATCGAGGCGCAGTCGGGGACCACGGACGAGGAATCAGGTTTGTGAATATCGGGCCCAAAGACCATGTATAACAGACCGTGCAAGCATGATCACGCATGGTCAAAAGTACCAAATGGTATGCTTCCCACTCAAAATTACAAAAGGGAATATTTGTACAAAGGGGTATTCGACGGATAGGAAGGGACACCCTTGCAAAGCCTTTCACCGATTCAGCTAATCTTCCGCCCTGCCATAGCATTTGCTTGTTGTACATACTCTCGATCATTCCCAAGAGGGTGCACGACATGCCTCCCGGATGTTGCCATGTTGATAGTCGTCCATGATGAACACACAATAGCCATGAGGGCTGTGAATCTGCCGTTTTTGGCATTGAGCACAGCCGTGAGGCATAGCCTAGGCTATAGCTAAAAGGTCCATGTGGATGGCCGGAAGTCGGACTTTTATATGGATTTGCGTGGAATTATGCATTCTATATACGCCCACAAAAGCATATCCATGCATGCAGGTTGGCCATAATGACACTTATAGGTGAACATTGAACAAGACATTCATGTAAGCTACCTGTACAAACCCTACGGAAGAAACAGTCCATCGATAAACACATTCAAAAGCACTGAAGATCAGAGCATTTCTTTGCAGGCCAGAAACAAAAATCCGGATGGTGTCAATATGTCATAGTGGTTGGATCGTTTGGGGTTGTTGGCATCCACCCTATAGTAGTCTATGTCCAAAGCAGCAACATCCCTCCCAGAGTGACTCATCACCGTAGATGTGACAGCCTTGCCGGCCCAGAACTCCAAGAAGTCGAATCCCTGTCACGGATTGGGCGTGTCAGGCATACCAACTTCCGAGGACAATTGTTTACAGCTTCCAAGTTCCAAGGGTATATAGAAACCTGACTTTGAACTTCAGCTAGTTGAGTTTCGTATGTCTTTGCTCATAGAAGTCTATAGAGTGTTCCGCCACACACTGTATTGAACTGCGTGCCACGACCTCTATCAACACACTTTTAATGTGAGATCCTAATCCGAAAGATCTTAAGAATATCACAGCCAGACTATGTATAAACGCCTATACAAACACCATGAGATCCACAACGCGCAGCTGTGGATCTGGCCTCCGAAAGGGTTTCCACATTCTGAGACCACAGCAGCATCAGAACGATGCAGGTCAGCACCTCCAAGCCATGGTGGGCGAGGGTGGGACATTGTAAGGTGCATGACTGCATGCGCCTCTTTCCACCAAGACATTTATGATTGGGAGATTATATTGCTGCAAACAGCAAAGAGTGCGGAGACAACCCACGTTCAATTTGCAGAGTGTTGCAGTCACCTAAAATAACTCGGGATAGGTCCAGCCTTGGGAGCTCCCACATAGTGTAGCCGCCACACCAAATCGCGGAGGGTGAGCCGGGCCATCATAGAGTAGAGCTCTGAGGAGCCAGTGAACCCCACCACTTTCAGTCACAGAGCCAAATGCTATACCCTCACTGGAAAGCTTTGTTTGCGCAACACTCCAGGATTACATGTTCATTCTGCAATGTTGTGTCCAAGATGGAATACTGGAATGCTGTTTGAGAAATCTATGGACAAACAAGGCGACACCGATTTCAGAATCAACCACGCTTGCTCTGAACATTAATTTGGATTGGAAAGTGTTTGGCTTCTACGACCCCAAAACATTAAACAGACCTTGTATATGCAGCACGTGACATATGATCTATATGCACAAGTCCGACTCTTGGAGTGTGACCATGTGCAACCATGGTTTTGCCCAACCCAAAGACGACTTCAAAGGAGCCAGGTGTACCCTCTCGAGGGTCAATGCGATTCTCGAGCCTGACCTCCCAGGCTTTCCGCTTCGCGACCATTGTCCAACCTCGAAGCGGGGCAATGTGAGGCAAGGTGGTTTGGCGGGACCGGCTCGACGCAGGATGCATCATAGGATGTTTGGTCTCCTGTTCGATCCGCAAACACTGCAAACCCAATTATAGAAAGGGCATGCAAATTTTGGGAATCTGATTCCTGGAGACTGGAGACCATGGGAAGCAAATGTATAGACCTGAAATCCCATTGCTGACACAAATCCAAAACAGCAGCCAAAGGAAGTGAAGCAATCGTTCTATTCAGCGCTGGGTCCATTTTCAATTTCTCTCCGCAGGTTCCGGTGGCGTAATGGGTATGGCCAACACCCCTTGCCAAGCTGGAAGCACAATTGTTGTGTGACAATTATTGGAACAACCAACATCCGCAATGCAACCTTGCAGACCTTATAGCATCTCATACCCCTAACAGAAACAGCAATATTGAATCAGCCATATGTTGTATTGTTAGGCCCGGCGAAACCAAAGGTGCAACCTATGCGCATATACAGCGCACTCAATTCCTCAATTCCACAGAGCGGAGGACTGGTTGTTCCACTCCCCATGCAGCTTGGACTGTCTATGGGCACGGCCTCCCCATTCCTAACCACATGCCCCCTAAATCCTTGTAAATGTTGGTGGACAAGAGACATACGCGACAAGCTTGAAAGGAGCAGGGTCACTTCAAAACTGTTGGTTGCAAATTGAAGTGGGTGTATAAAACAGATGTAAACACATTGTATCACGCCTCGCATGTGTGTCCATCTCAAACAAAAATGTTGAACTCGCTTGGTTCAAGTGTCAACCATTTAAATTTCGATGTCCTCCAAACTCAAGCCGAGGGAATCAGCAATTCCAACAGCCTTCACAAGCTCCGTCAAGGAGTCCAAATAAGCCACAACCACCTCGTCATCAAGGGGTTTGCACTTTGCCACCGGTTTGTCACCACCAACGAAGTTGATCTCAGTCGATCGATGACAGAAACACCAGGAAGGTTCAACTTTAAGCTCGGCCAGCACATATAAGTCTACCAACAAACAGACCAAAATCAAAGCTGTCAAAGACAGGCGCTAAGGAGATCGACGCAGTATTTCAACATGTGCGATTCAAACATCAAATCTCCTTCAACATCAAATTTCCAAATGCAGGGGTTGAGAGGCCACAAAAACACTATAGCGCGTGCAGGTACCCTTACACTATAGCCCTTTGTGGCCCCTCAACCTGTCTTCGAATCCTTGAATCTAGGCCCGATGGATTTGATCCAACACAATTGCAAACAGGTTGTCCCCTTTATAGCGGTTTGTCATAGCCTGGAAGAGTAGATGTGGGATTGGCCATGTTTGTATATCAATCAATTAAGTGGCAAACAACTGGCATGCCAAGTGGCAAACATACGGGCTGCGTGGGCACACATCGCAATGTTCTTGCACCAAGTGCACCCGAAGGACGTGACATGGACAAAGCCCGACTCCTGCTTCTGGAGCAGCCCCACCCTCTTGGTTTGCCAATACATGCTAAGGCTCCAAAAATCATATTTGGGCACCTCCTTCTTGTCAGTGAGCTTGTGGAATTTCAGAGCCTTGTGCAGCTCTTGGACATGGAACCAGGCAGCTGGGTCAGCCTTGGACTCCTTCAAAAGCTTGAGAGCAGGCTTCTGGATCCTCTGACCTGGGAGGCGTTGCGCAGGCTCCATCTTTCCATCGGCTGCCACCTTTCCATCATCCGGTTCTGGGGCAGACCCACCTGCCTCAGCTTCGGGTTGGGCAGGCTCTGCAGGCTGGGAAGGAGCTGCCTTCGCCTTTGCTTTTCCCTGCGCTTTGGCTTTGGCCCTCTTCTTGGGCTGCTTCGTTGAGGAAGAAGCTGCCTCAGGCACAGGAGGCTCAGCAGCAGGGTCTGGAAACAGCTCGCGTCTCTCAGGAGTGTTGGCCTGGGACTCAACCGGGGGTCTCTTCGAAGGAACCTTTTTCTCTGGAGTGGATGCCAGCTTCTCCTCAGCCTTCCTACCACGGCCACGTCCGCGACCTCGTCCACGGCCACCTCTCCCACCATTCTCCTTTTTCTCCTCGTTCAAATCAGCAATCTGCCCAAGTTGCTGTCGACGAGTGAGAACCTAGAGGGCTGCAGGCCCCTTCATGATACAGGCATGCCTTTGTGTATCAACTGTTGAACTTGTTCAGAAAAGTTCAATGAAGAAACGAGCTATATATATTGGCACCAGGCTCGGTAGAACATAACAAACAGAGAGCTATACAACCTCTAATTTAATACAAGAAACTGGACTTCTCAAATTGCAAAAAGCTTTAAATTTAGTGTTTGATACCTTATGCTTTCTCATTTGATAGCTTTTCGTGCTTGATTCTATGTTGTACCCTTCTCCCTGACCTCCTGATCCTTTGTCTCGACTTCAGGGAGTTGAGCAGCATCCGCTTGTTCGCCCCTCGCAATCATCCCCTCTACCGATGCTGTTACACCAGAGGACAGATCCATGGGAATAGTGGGATCTGAATCTTGACCATATGGGAGCGATTCATCGACGAGAACCGATGAAGTTGAAGAGCTCTTCAAATCTGCAGCGATGACAGCATGGCATGACCTGGGCAAGCTGTGGAATGCAGGAACACCCTTCAAGATTTGTTTGTGGAGCAAATGCAGCTTGAATTATATTTGCTCAAAAAGGATCCCATTATAGTTTAATCCAAGCACACCCCATGGCACATATGAAAAATATACATGATGATTTCATGACAACTGTATAAGGGAAATGAAATGTATTCAAGCTGCATGGCTTTGCATTCCCCTTTAAACAAGATGTCACATTCAGGTCGTGGAACTACTATACTGATTGAACCCATTCATTGTGTGCATTAACATCCCTTGGTTGACACACACACACATGAACTGCATGGTGTCACAAGTAAGCACCCCACGCGGCTTTGGCCATTTGAAGCTCCAAAGTCTTAAGGTGCTCTCGGAGTTGCGCGATCTGCTCTACCTTCTTGGCCTTCGTGTCGTTTGATGGATTCTTGTCATCCTCGCCCAGCACCTCAACCTTGACAGGGGATTCCTCAATCATAAGCACATCTGATCCACTGGATGGACCTGTTGTCATGCTCCGCTGAAGTGGCCGGGCAACAGGACGCGTGCATTCATCCGGTTCGACCTTGTCTGGCAAAGCCTTTGGGGCATCTGCCTCAGAGCCCAAATTCGAAGAACTCTTGAGGAAGTTGTCAAACCATTCATCCACATCGGAATCCTGTTCGTAATCCTGAGGATCGTAGACCAGCCCATCGCCATCACATCCCGACTCCCCATCCCCTTCTGACTCAGCACCATCCGGGCTCCATTGGTTGTAGGGCTGCAGGGTTTGCAAACTCTTTCGATGAAAGTTCATGCTTCTATAGAAGAAAGCCTTTGGTATAGAAAGCTTTGGCAAACCAGTAAAGTTGTAGTCGATCCAGTATGAATGTGCGCAAATCCCCCACGAGTTTATATTGTTGTGTGTGCAATGTGAAAATTTGACAACTATATTTAAAACGGGCCTGGATGGTTGGATCCAATATGCGCTGAAGACTCAGGAAATGCAAGTCCTTGACAAAGGGAGCACATCAACAATTTGACATGACGAAGGGACGGTATATGAAACCCTTTGAATTGGCCATTCAAATTTTACCATGTTGGCATGTTAAAGCATGTGAGTGGGATATGCGAGCTATGCAAAGGCATTTTCTCCTTCACTTGCATTCATATATACAGACAAAATTTGGGGCCAAGGAACTGCGTGTATGGTTTTACTGAAGTAAAAAGCTTGCTGTGCAAAAACACAAAACAGGTGAATGAATTCCAAAACATACAAATTTCACCTCAAAGCTACATGAGATCCCAGGTTCTTGTGAGTTTTCATCTTCACAAAGCTCAGCATAGATTTTGCTGTCCAGGCATCAAGCTTCACCTTGTCCTTCTGCGGGATGAGATTCATCTTGGATCTGAAGAGCTTGATCCTTGTGAGGCCCAGGGGCATGGCATGGCAGTGAAGAAACAAATTGTTTAGAGGGGACAGGCCAAATAAAGACCCCATTGGAGCACTAAAGACCTAAGCAAAATAATTATGGTAAAGCGGTCAGCGCTATACCACTGTTTTTGTTTTCCCATCGGCAATCGAAACAAGTAGACATATGTTGGAGGACTGACACGGAAACTATATACAAATGGATCAGATGGCCTGTGTCTTTTTGCATGTATATATAGGTTCAAGAGCTATACTGGCGTATGTCACTATATATACACACGCGTTTCCCAATTCCAGATGAGTTTCTCCCGGGCCAAGTCTTTGACATAGGGGACAGGATGATGAGTGTGCTCCACCATTCTCTCCAACAGCGGTTTCAACACATACATGTTGTGCACAGTATCCCGGATGTTCATCCGAATCCCACGTGGCTGATCAGTAGGGGTTTTGGCTGCTGAGGGTTCGAAAAGCCGGTCTGCCCGCACAGCTACCATCCGTACGCTGGCCTCTTCCTTCCACACCTTGTAAACATCCTCCACCGAGCAGGTCGCCAAATCATTGCCATCTCGGTCTTTGAATGGCATTGCTGAAGGCAAAGCTGGGGACGGATTGGTGTTTGAGCTCCCAGGTCCCAGAAGGCTGCAGCGCATGTATACGTGGACTTCACACATCATTTGGAGCATTGTGCCACAGAGATTTGGTGTAAGAAACAATTAAAAGAATAGTATTAAAGATCATGTATACTTGAAAGATCTTGAAAGGGCTGAGTCCAATGGGGAGCTGAGGGAAAGTAGCTGAAATGCTCATGATACATAAGATGAATGAGCTTTCCCTTGCCCCAAACTCCTGCGTCGATCCAGGATGATGTGCTGGGGCACCAGACTGACTTCCAGAAGCAGATCTCCCGGAGAAAAAGAGCACGAGTGGTCATGGCACTGCTCGCACGGCTGGTGGTACACGGAGGGCCCCAAAACCGAGCCCTTAAGGTGTTTTTCACTTCCATCTAAGTTTGAGGAGTCCCTGTGGAACACCGTTGAGCATGGAAGTCATGCCTGTGGAAGGCAATTGGAAAGAATCTCACGCATCTTGGATTATTTGGGAACAAACACATTAAACTCATTAATGTCTTGAATCATTACTCAGCCAAATGGCTTCAAAATAGAAAAGCCCAACATCTTGTATTGGGCAAGAACAGCAAAAACCTGGTTTTTGCATGTGTCCATTAACGACCCTTCAGACTACGGGTCACTGTTCTGGAAACCAGGTTTTGATCAAATAGCCTCGATTTTGCCCATAGGGGCAAGCCCATGGTAGACAATGTTTGACATGTTTTAGGTGATTCACTGAGAGCAACTGAGTCCTTTAAATATTTGTTGCTTGCGTCATTCAGATGCTTTTTTTACAGTAAGCGTAGCCCTTTGAATGCCAGCAAACAATTGCTTTTGGCCGTGTCGCTTGTGGCAACATGCTTGGGCACGTGTATACACACTGAGCAGACTGGTCGCCAGCACACACAGACTGGTTTCATTTTCCACATGGCCAGCTTGTGAAGCACCAGGTTGTGAAGCTTTTTCGAGGGTCAGAGCCCTAGTCATACCAGTATAATATATGTGTTGAAAAGTTGAAAAGGGATGATGTGGGATTGCAATTACGTAGTATATAGTAGTATTTTGAAGCTCTCTCTCCCTCTCTCTCTTTCTCTACATCGTGTCATGTGGGTTCTTTGGGGTCTATTCGGTTCATGCCAAGCTGAAAGCACAGTGCCCAACCAATTTCTTTCTCCACGCAGTAGAGGCTCAAAGGTGTGCATGATGCAACGAACATAGAGGTCAAATCGGAAACCCAGCGGTCCAAGTGTCGCCACCCAGAGGGCATCTCCACGTGGAGAGGTGTTTGTTCTTCGGGGGGGGTCAGTGCTGCATTCATGTCCACTAGTTTTCAAAAAGGATCCACTTGTCTATCATGTACAGTAATTAATATGACTCAGGGGACTCAGGGGTAGTGGTTACCCACAGGGTTGGTGCTTCATGAATGCATGACCCTTTGTGCCACACACAAGTACCACTTCGGCAGAGCTCGTACAAGTAAGTCGCATCTTTGCCCGTAGAACGTCAGAGCCGGTGATGTCGGACGGGGAAGAGCCGGTGGAAACATCATTCTTCATCCGGTGATGTCGTGAAAGTGTGGTGACGTTGTTGTTTTGTGAGTGGTGTGATGCTGACGTAACTGACGTAACTGACGTAACTGTGATACATGGTGAAGTGTGGATACTTGGTGATGTTGACGTGATCGTGTGGTGTTTTGGGTGTTTTTCCAAGAATGAATGTAGTGTTTCGTTTAGAGCGTCATGCGGCGGTTCATTGATGTGATTGTTTTTGGCGCGCACAGGCGGTGGTGCATCTCTTTGCAACCTTTGGAGAATCAGAAACAGTTCCCCTTGCATTTTCTTGTGGATGAGGGTGGCATACACTTTACGAAGCACACACACGCAGGGCGCATCCATTTCAGTGCAATTTCAATTGGAGGCCTTGCATTCCCAATCCATGAGTGCCACATCCGCACCAAATTCCGAAAGACTGTTTGTTCCAGGGATTTCCAGGGTACTCTACCGTTCGGATCTTTGTCTTTTACAACTGTAATGTACCCCTGTTGCACTCACACGCTTGCACACCCTTATGCACCCGATCTCTTGGCAACTGTTTGGCCCTCAGAGCTTTTTTTTTTACACTTCCTTTGATAATGGCTGCAAGCAAAGGCCTTTTTCTGGTACCATTGGAGCAAAGATCTTTTGAAATGACCTTTGGCAAGTTAAGATCCGATGTTTTCTCCCGCCGCCATCAGTTCGCCGTTGCATCGAGAACTGCGGCATCAACAAAGGAACCCCAGTTGTCTTGGGGTTTCTTCACTCCTGGTTAGTCATGTGTTCACCCATGCAGCAACACAGCACGTTCAGCAACCACTCAAGCTGTCAAGGCCATCACCGAAGGCTTTGACAAAGTTGTTTTGATTTCATTCCTCTGTCCTCTTTCAGCCTTTTCAGAGACGGATTTTACAAAACTTGTGAGGATCTCAGGGGCTCGTTGATGAAGCAGAGAGCCATCGAGGTCGGTTCCAGACAGCCGTGCGGCATTTGTTTTGCTCGAGTTTGCTTTGATGAGTTATTGATGTCGAGGGCGCTCCGAATCATCGAGGGCGCTCCGAATCGGTGCATTGCTAGTGGGTTGGACCGAGGTAAAATTGGGTTCAAATCAATAATCATGGTTAACATTGTGTTTGCCATACCCCTTTTTTTTCAAGTTTCGTGATTTCTAGAATAAAGCCACCTCTGGTGGACACATGGTTAAAATAAAGCGCATCCGTTAAGGTAGTTCCATGTCGGTTTCTCAAGCGAGTAATATCCAATTCTGGCTAATAGAAGCCTCCCTGGATAGTCATGTGTTTTTCATCTCCGGAACTTTGAACGTCTTGCGGCTGTTCTCAAAGTCACTGAAGCTCAAAATTGAGTTGTTGTGCTGCTGAGACCTCTGCGTGGGAGTCTCTGAGAGAAGCAGAGCAACTGGAAGATGAGGCCGGAACGACCACCAGCACCAACAGCAGGATCATCAAAACTCATGCGCGAGCGCGATGCACATCGATATGAAAGGAACTTTAGACGTTTTACTGTTTAATGATTTGTCTAGAGATGTAAGCCGTGGACATTGAATCCGAAGAATAGCTGGTCAACTATGCTGCAGCCGTGGCCAGTCGCTGCAGATAATTTTTTCCATGCTGCCATTCGGGCATGCGGGATCCTTTGAGAGCTGCCTTTGTCCAAGTTTGCCTGCTTTCCAGGTGCAACTGCAGATCCATGTGCGGCACGCGCACATCGAGGAGGTTTCAACCGGGCACATCGTGTGGTCGATGAAGACCGCCCCCAGACTACCATTCCGGGGGGTGAATCCAGAGCTTAGCTCGAGCCGATAGTGTTTCTTGTCGGTGCAGGGCTCGATTTTCCAGAAAGATGTTCCTTGGGTGAATGTCATGGATGGTGAATCAAGTGTGCATGCAGACCAGAGGGTTGACAAGTCCGCAGGTGCATGCAGCTCGAGTGTTAGACCCTCCTTCCAATGTAAGGATTTGTGTAGCAATCAAGTGATTATCAAGTGAGGTCAAGCACCGGTGGCCGCATCAGAGATTGTCAGGCAGATGAGGAGCTGCTCCGTCTTCAGCTCTTGAACAATGAGGAGGACACATGGCCAAAGGCTTTCAGCAGCATTCGATTCTCCACAGCATTCTTTTGATTGCCTTTTGGGTAATGAGTTTCCGCCAATGTTTGCAGAACTCACATACTTGCGTTTTTTCGAGCATGTGCAACATTTGTTGAGCTCCTTTGCATTAAACATGTCTTGGGACATTCGATACCCAGCACCCTCGACACGCACCGGTGTTGGTCTTTATGTATATTTATATCATGTTGCAATATTGTATCAATTGTATAGCATCACAATTGCATATGCAATTCTATGTGCAGTAAAAGCTGATGGCTGAGTCAGCACAAATCACCCGGTGGGCTGCCCAGACTGTCACCTGTCCACGTCCGCCCCCAGGCCCGGCCACACCGAAATTGGGGCTCCTCATTCGCACCTGAACCACGATGTAACCGCATTATGTAACCTCCTCTTGTGGTTCTGTCTTGATCTTGAGAGACAAAAAATAGTAGGAAGTGTGGGCTCGCTTTGAATGGGATGCAGGGATGCAGAAAAAGTTGATAAACCGGTGGTTGCAGAATGCTCCGACTATGAATGGCTTGTCGGTACCATCACCGAGGCACAGATGTTTCGTAGAGCTAGACGGACCACATGCTCTAGATGTGCTGCTTGGGGCTCGAGGCAGCGACAGCATCAGGAGCCGAACTTCTTTTGGACCTCCATGTGCCATGCTGGAGCTGACACTGGTGGGTTTGGATGGCCAAGGTTTCCAGCTCACGGTGCCTGGCTCCATGACCGGACTCGAGCTGCGAAGACATGTGCGCGAGCGGCTGCCATCAAAGCCCGGAGCTGTCCTCTCGGTATATCGGGAGGGAGAGCCTTGGCTGAAATAGGTGAAATGAGGCTATACTTTTAGAAGGCTTGCAGTCTTGCTGGCTTGCCGAAAGCTGGCTGACGAGTTGTTTGCACCAGATGATGTGGGGACAATCCATGTATATAAGTTGATTTTGGCTATAGCATTTGCTTTGAGTCCTGAAATCCCCAGCCAACAACCTACATTGTGTCAGTTGCCTTGGCAAGGGGACGCGACAAACCAGCACTTGAGATTCAAATCCTTTCTGGGGGAGGTCAATGTGATGGCCAAACAAACTTGGACAAAGACATTGATTGTTTTGAGTGCTCTTACTCGGAGCTGCAAGTATTCTATCGCAAAGCAAAGCTCAGATCAATGACATGTTGTGTTCAGGGCAACTCTTTGCATGCGCAAAGTCAACTACAGTATATAGTATCGAGTTTTTTTGGCAAGGCATGGATGCTTTCAGATCAATTCTTGTGTGAAAATCTTAGTTTAAACAACCAATGGGGTTGAGTAATGTTCTACACTTCCACACAAGGCGTATGGCAACAGTTTTTTCCATGAAGGATAAGGGACTTTCGTAGCCCCTTGTGTTCAGTTCGTGAGGAATGAGGGTTGATAATGCTTCTGTGCAGTTTGTTTGCGGCTGCTGCTGCTGCTTGTTTGCTGCTTGCGAACTGCTTGTGTGCTGCTGCTGCTGCTGCTTCCGCAACGGAATTGGAATGATTTGATACAAAACCTGAACATTCTTGTGCAACCGGTTAAACGCCTTGTAAATAGGAACGTGACCCTGATGTGACCCAGTCGCAACGGGCCTCTCCATGTGGATGATTAGCACTTTTCGAGTCACCTGATGTGACTAAAGTTGATGACAGTAGACAAGCAGATTTGGAATAATCAAAAGAACATGGCTAAGAGAAAGCCAGCATGAACATCTCAATAAATATGGCTTTAATAAGCAATGATATAAGTGTACTGCAGTCTTTGCTTCTTTGACCAGTAGAAGCTCTCATAGCGTGTTTGCATGAGAGACAAAGCGCAATTGTACTGAATCATAGTTATATTGAGGCACAGTTTGGATTCCCTATCTAACACCCGGTAACGTTGACTGTTATTGAAATGCTGCAAACTGGAACATCCTAGACCAGTCATAGCACATGCAGGATAGTAAGAATGGCGATGTGAGACTTGTGAAAGCCATGAAAAGCATGTTAGGTATTTTTACTGCGCTGCCTGTCGTAGTAGACAAGGGACACCAGTCAGTGAAGACACTACCACACAAAGAACCGACATAGTGAGCAGGGAGCGGCTATGGTGAGCGACCACCAGAGCACGAGGTGTTTGACAAAGTTTGATTTGTTTAAGGCTGACAAAGATGATTCAAGCATGTAATGCATAAACATGTTGCAATGAAGTATGTGAAAGACGCATGTGAAGGGTACAAAGGCAAGATGTGGCAAAACACGAAAAGAGATAACAAACATTGCCTTTTTGAGACATTGACATTGCGTTGCAAACATGTTTGTGGGTGCTTTTGCAAGCAGTGTGACCACTTGTTGGGATACTAAAGCTGAGAAGTTCACAGCCAACTTCACAGCACAAAGGTTGACAATGAGTATCACTGTCAATGATACTTGTCACGAAAGCTAGCCTTAGCTAGCTGGAGTTGCTCTTGCTTTAGCAAGTTAAGTGACGGGGTGGACGCACCTCAGAAACCTCAAATAATTGATTAAATCAATCTTATGGCCCCCCCCCCCCCGCGGTTCGACTCCCCCCTGCGCGCGGTGAGCGGGACCACCAAGCAGCTGCAGCACACCAAGCATCTGCAGCGCCCAGCGCAGCAGCGGCAGCAGCAGGAGCAGCACCAGCAGCAGCAGCAGACCACCCAGCGGCGGCAGCAGCAGCAGCAGCAGCATACCCAACGCCGCGGCAGCAGCAGCCGCAGCAGACCACCCAGCGCCAGCAGCAGCAGCAGCAGCAGACGACCCGGCGCCTGCAGAGCACCCAGCGCAGCAGACCCCAGCGCAGCAGCGGCAGCAGCAGCACCAGCAGCAGCAGCACCAGCAGCAGACCACCGGAAGCCCGGCTAGCTTTCGTTCACCCCCTCTGGCCTCAAGTCGGTGTGTAGATTGGAGCCGTTCTGTGCACTCAACTTGTTGATATTAAAGAGTAAAAAACAAGTATATAGTTAAAACCATTGCATTTGCGGATGCAAACATGAGAGACCAGACCACTGCCATGCTTCTATTTCGATTTATTCAAGGGAATGTCGAAGAGAGGGGAAGACCACGTGGTGAGAATCGTTTTGTTGCGCCACGTTAGTTTCTTGAGTATCATGTTTGAATGGCTAGAAGTACAAGTGGTTTTGAGAAGGCTGAAGACATATACATATACATATATATATATTATATACTTATAGTTGGATCTATGATTGGTATTTTGAATAGAGCTTTGAATAACTATGCTGCTGTCATACCTGTTGCAAGCAATAACCTCCCTGATGGTATTTGATGGTGGCTTATTAGTGTGCATTCATCAAACACAATATTATCCCTATCTATCTATATATATATAGATATCTCAGGTCCATTTGCATGCTGCGTTTGTGCATATGCATTAATACAATATGTAATACGCCGTATATACGTATCTATCTAGCACCCCCGCTATATGTACACTGAACAACGACAAACTTGTGAGAAGTGATTTCAACAAGGGCCCAAAACACTGTAAGTTGTAGTGCAACCCAATAAACGTGCAGTTTTTTTGGGAAGTACAATTTCTACCCTTCTTGAGGGATACAGTATATGACAGTGTATGTATAGTACTGGACATCTCTTAAGTCCTCCAATTTCCTTAGCAGCCGGCAGGCTTCGAAGCTTTCGTGGGTTCAAAGCCTGGAGGAACAAGGCCTTGAAACTTCGACGACGCTGTCCTATCTATACACGACTCCCAGTGCCTTTGGTGGGGTGAAGTCCGCATGCTTTGACCTATTGTCCTTTGGTTCCTTTTCAATCGAATTTGAAGTGTATCATTTTGGGGACTTGTTGTCAAAAGATACGTACTGGCCTGGCGAAAACGAAGAAGAAGCAGGTGTGCACGATGCCTGGTGTTTCCTCCAGGGCTTTGCAGTGGAAGCAGAGGAAATGGCCTGTGAGGGGCTCACTGAGATCTCTGGCATTGAGTTCGAGGATCAGCTCATAGACCTTCCAGAAACTCTCCAAAGGTTGACTTTTCGCAGTAACTACAACCAGGACTTTCCAGTCTCTTAAGGCGGCCACCTTCGGCCAGCGTGGCTTTTTGAATCCTTGGTAGCCCAAGAGTAGGACTTTTGGGGGAGCTTCCAGTGGTTGGACTTTGGAGGTGAGACTTTCCTGAAGCCCTTTCCTTCAGGACTGGGGAGCTGTGAGATTGCCAAGCGGCCTGCAGGAGTTGATCTTCGGCTATAGGTTCAATCAGGTCTTGGGGCCCTTGCCGGTTGGACTCTTACACTTGTGCTTGGGACATGATTTCAATCAGAGCTTAGTAGATTTGCCCGCACAACTACAAAGCCTGACCTTTGGCCAGCACTACAATCAAAGCTTAGAGTCTGTCTTCTTGCCATCATGTCTTCAGAACTTGACTTTTGGCCATGACTTTGACCAAAGCTTGGAATCCGTCATGCTGCCAATCAGCCTGCAGACATTAGTCTTCGGCGATGGCTTCAACCAAAGTTTGCGCAGAGTTTGCTTGCCAAGTGGCCTCCTACACTTGGCATTTGGAGATGGGTTCAAGCAGGACCTTCACACGACCAGTTGGCCCAGCAAGTTGCAGAACTTGTCTTGCCACGGCTGTTGTTTTCATGGGCACGTGCAATTTTTGGACATAGTTAAGGATTTGCGCAGCTTGACCCTTCAGAGCTTCTTCACCGAAAGCTTGGAGGCCTTGACGCCCTCGAGCATTCAAGACTTGATATTGGGGAGGCTACTCTCCCAGAGCTCGAACAAAGTCAGGCTGCCATGCCACCTGCAGAGCTTGACATTCAGAGATGATTTTCAGGGGAGTGTGGAGAATTTGCTTTTACCAAGCAGTTTGCGGAGCCTGACTTTGCCCAAAGGCTTTAATCAAAGCTTGGAACGCATGATGTTGCCACCTCTTTTGGAAAGCTTCACTTTAGGCAGGGCTTTCAATCAAAGCTTGGAGAATGTGAGCTTTCCCAGCAGCCTTTTGATGTTAACATTTGGGGACCGGTTTAACCAGGAGCTTGAGCGGGTTCGTTTCCCCAGCCTACAGAGCTTGAGATTTGGATTTGAGTTCAATCAGCCCCTGGATCACGTGATCTTGCCCGCCACCTTGCAGTCTTTGACGCTCGGTGATTTGTTTGAGCAGAGCTTGGAGAACGTGACATTTCCCAACCTGCAAAACCTGATTCTTGGGAACCGCTTCAACCAAAGCATCGATGCGGTCACTTTGCCCAGCAGCCTCAAAAGCCTGGTGTTCGGTGAATATTTTGACCATTACCTCGATTTGGCGGTGCTCCCCCATAGTCTAGAGAACTTGACCTTTGGCAACTATTTCAATAAGAGCTTGGAGAACGCAATTCTACCCAACAGTCTTGAAAGCTTAACCTTCGGCCGCGCGTTCCACCAGTCCTTGGAGAACATCAATTGGCCAAAAAGTCTGACTCATTTGACCCTGGCCAGTCACAACCACTTGGAGGATGCAAAGTTGCCAAGTGGTCTTCGACTGCTTCGTTCTGATGGTTTGATGATCACTTTTACTATGGAAAACGTGCTGGTTTCGTAGCAGTGTCAGGACGCTGTATGTATGGCAAAGAAGCAGATGGTGACGGTGACGCTGTCATTGTGTTGGGCAGTTTCTGGGGCTGTATATAAACAGGGCGATGCACTTGGAAAGACTTATATGCCCGGCGTTTGCCTCCACACATGGCAAGTGGGCGGTTGGCCCTATCTGGGCCTAAACAAACCAGATAGTAGATAGCAGATGCACAGTCAGATGCACCTAGCTCAGGAGATATCATATACCCTTTATATAATTACAGAGCATATATGAACATATAGATTGTAGATAGAGTTATTTTTGTTGCCTCTCTCGCTTTGTGCTGCTGACAGACCTAAGCTCGGATGGGGGCTGTGAGGCACACCACCAACTTTGTCGTAGGCATTGAGAGACTAAGGCAGCAATCCCCAAAGATGGTCAAGACTAAGACAGTGCTTTCGGTCTTTGGGCGCCACACGAATAGTCTGGGAAAGCGGAGGAAAGGAAGCAGCCTAGTAGGCAACCTGACCAAGTTGTGATCATTTTGTTGTGGATCAGTGAGCACCAAAATAGCTGACACTAAAGGTTTTGTGACTATGCCATCCTCGTGTGTCAGGAGGCCCGGTTGGCACAGACAGAGAAGGTGATCAATGATATCACCTCGAAGCAAGAGGTCAGGCTGTTGGGGTTTATGTCGAGTGCTGAGGCCAAAATGTGTGGCTGAAAAGAGGTTTCAAACCAACATCGCCAAGATTAAGATAAGAGCGATTGTGCCCTCGACCCCGTTGAAGACTTAGTGAACCTGCTTGGCCCAGCCTTCAATGCAGGCTAGTTCTCATGTTCATCAGCGTTGAACTTGATCATTCTGTGTGCGCCGTGCGCCAATCTTGTACAGAGAACGTGGCTGGCCGGATCCAAAGCAAGCCGAATCCAAAGCCAGGCATGTCGTGCAGTCTTTCGACAAGGGGAGTGGACCTGGCAGCCCAGACCCTACTTGCAGATTGTGAGTGAGTAGAATTTCCATATACGCCCTGGAAGATTAACATGGAACCTGAAAACCGCTGGGTCGTAGAGGAGAATAATAGTCTTCCAAAGGTTCATGTTCAGGTTCCATTATATAGGTTAAATTTCCATAATTTTCCCGGGTGTATATACCTTGCTTTGATCACGCGAGCGACTTGCGGTCGACACCAGGTTCTGATGTTGCTGCCATGTTCACATCGTTTGCCGGCTTGGGTCAAGGGAGCTGTGAGTGGTGCAAAACGATCAGCTCGAAGTTTGACGAATCTATGTGAAATCTTCACCCACAGCAGCCTTTTCATATTCTACACAAATCCCGGCCTGTAAGAACAGTACATGCGATTGAGCACTTACTCACCCCCACTCGGTTTGGTTCCGCGCCATGGGGGGTGCGCCATCGCTCATCCTTCCCAACCTTTGGCTGGGAGGCCGGGTGTGCAAGCGGTTGAGCTGAGCAACCAGGTCAGGCAAGATGATAGAGGCATTGGCACGTGACTAGACTATAGACATCTATAGACTAGGACAGACTGAAGAAACAAAACTAAGACCAGGGAAGAATCATTCCAACATGTCAAAGCAAGCCGCATCCTCACAGGACATGTTGACAACTTTACTGTATTCATGTTTTTTGTATGTTTTTGCTTCGCCCTGTGACACTGGGACGAAGTTGCTGTTCAGAATCCAGTCCATTTCCTGAAATTAGGTTTGGCAAAGACAGGCCTATGGCTAGCCGAAGGGACCGCCGTCAACCCATATTGTTTGTTTAGTCAATCCAGGCCAGGATGTCCTGGACAGCCCAGAGTTCTTCGTGAAGAACAACATTACATGCGGCTTGAATGCGTGGGAGACCAGGCTACCCGTCCACCCGCCTAAAGAGACCTTGACAAAATGGCGCTGGCGGGAACCCAAGTCAGGAGGAAGAAAGTCCAAGGGAAAATGCCTGGCAGATTGATGAATGCCATGTGCCAACTGATGCAGGGCACCACGCAAGAAGACAGTTATACTGGTTGCGTGTGTACATGTGTGTGCGTGCGTGCTGAAGACATGGTTGTATATACTGCCATTACTACCCTATTTTGCTATATGTGTGACATGTGAGATATGTATGGGTAGTGGTGGTACGGAGTTAGAATGGATGCCAGCCCTGGAATCGCTAGGGTTGCTCCTTGTCCGCAACTCCAGTAGTGACTCGGGTTTAAGGGGCTAGCTGTACTTGTACAAGACAGGCCGCCCGCTGTCAGAAAGGCATTTTTGATGTCCCTTTATGCGACAAACAAGTTCTTCGGGGTGCACATGAGGTACAGGCTGTATGTTGTAGCATGCGGTAGTTCAGACCGGCAGGCAGCACGTCAGGCTCAGGGGGCTGACCACCACAAGTTCATTGGTCCAGAGTCCAGTTGCTGGTTGCTAGTTGCTGGTGTTCTTTTTTTCCTCACCGGTCAGGTGAGATTTGTTCGATGTTTAAATGTGCTGTCCCCAACAGCAAGCTCCAGATGGTAGTTGCCACGACCGGACCTCAACAGCAATCGCCAGATTGCAGTGGGGACCTCAACAACCACCACGGCCACAACACACTACACAAAACACAAGCCACAAACAAACAACACACATCACACAACAACCAAACACACCCGCAAACACATAATCACGGACACACAAACACACAAACACAAACACAAACACACACTCACAAACACACAGTCACAAACACACACTCACAAGCACATAGCCACAAACACACACTCACAAGCACACAGCCGCAAACACACGCACAAACACACATCCACAAGCACACAACAACAAACACACAAGACACAACCACAAACACACAAGCACAACACACAACTACAAACACACAACCACAAAGACACAAACACACACACAAACACATAACCACAAACACACAGCCAGAAACACACCAACACGACCACCACTCACAACCACAAAAATGCAACCACAAACACACAACCACAACAATATAATTGCCGCTGCCTTTGTGTGTGGCATTTTGCGGGGCAGGTGGTAGTGCAGGTGGTCACAGGGTAGCACTTATGGCTGCCAACTGGAGACCCTGGCGGTACCCCGGCCCGAAAACAACTATCCCAAGCCCCCAAAAGCAAAATCGAAAGCCACAAAGCCCACGACCATGGCAACATGCTCCTCACCATGGAATTAAAATGAAAGATTGACATGTCATGGTGTGGATCACTCGAACTAAAGTAATTTTCCCACCTGTGAGACACTCCGCCGCTCTTCTTTCCTCTTCTCGTTCTCTTCCTCGTGCTCCCGGACCTCAACTGCAGGCTCCCGATGCAGTGGGCACTGCTGGACCTCAACCGCCAGCTCCCGGATCGCAGTGGGCACTGCCGGACCTCACTCGCGAGTGCTGGGTCGCAGTCAGCCGCCGGATCTCAACGGTGAGTGTTGCATCGCAGTGGGCACCGCCGGACCTTAGGCGCGAGTGCTGCATTGCAGTGAGCACCACTTGACCTCAACCGCCAACAAGAATGCCACATAGAATCTACTGTATATATATATATATATGTTGATATGTATATATATATACATGTTGATATGTATATATATACATACATATCTATCTATCTATCTATCTATCTATCTACCGATCCATCCATCCATCCATCCATCTCTTCATCTGTCCATCTGTCTATTTGTCTACCTATCTACCTATCTCTTTCTATCTATCTATCTACCTATCTATCTATCTATCTTTCTATCCATCGATGTATCTATCTCTCTCTATCTCTATCTCTATCTCTATCTCTATGTATCTCTATCTCTATCTCTATCTATCTATCTGGCAGGATAGACACTTTCCCATGGTGGGGCAAATGTCGGAACACATGGCAAAACACATATCAGGACCGAAGTCGGACCATATGTCACAACACATGTCACACTTTCATGGGAGGACAAGTCAGAGCACATGCCAACAAGGAAGTCAGAACACAGCCCAGAACATTTCTCAGCCTTGATGGCAGTTGATGTGCCAGAGCACGTGCCAGATTTGATGCCAAGACAAGCGTCAGAACATTGTGCCAGTCCACATGCCAGTCAGGATGATCTGTCAATAGAGGTGCCCCCTTCCTTCAAATCGCCTTTCAGGGTGGGGAACGGTCGAAGTAAAGCAATATTTTTGGCAAGGGGTGGCATGATGTTCATGGGTGATGCTGGTGTCACACAAATAGGTCCATGTCACCATCACAGGCCTTAAAGAGCTTCAGGGGCCTGCTGCTTGGTCTCCCGAGGTGTCCTGTCCTTGGGCCCCGCGGCGCCTGGACATCGCATCCGGTTAGTAGCCCGTGGCCTGGCTGATTTTCCATGGGGGGACATGTTTCTCATAAAATTTGTTGACCAAACAGGGTGCTGTTTTCCCCCCATGGTGGGTTGGTTTTGCATCCTGTCTGGCCCAGGTGAGCATATCAATTTGCCTGACGTTATAACGGCCGACTTGAGCTTCTTGCACTGAATCATAAAGCAGTTTTACACTTTTTTCACAAGTGTGTAGAGGGGACGGGCTGGCAAAAGTCGCCCTGAAAAGCAAGTTGAGTTGACTGTGGAATCCACAAGTCCACACCTTGCCACCCTTCCAGTCCACATTTTTCCAATATTGTGCCTGGTTCCTCTAATTTGTCACATGTTTGGCTTACATGTTGAACCATCCAGCATCCCCAAAAATTCTGGCAAAATATGATAGAAGAGGCAAATTCTACCATGCATTATGAACACAATGCGTGTCCCAAAATACTGTGCCGAAATGCGTCCGCGTGCTAGTAGCGATCAGCTTGGCCTTGACGACGCAACTCAGGTGCTCATTTTGCACGCATCTTGATTGCACAGATCAAAAACCACTGCAATTCTGATTTTGAGGAACATTTTGGAAGGGAATCAGGTTCTTCAGTTTGTTGTGGTCCACCTGAGCCATGACCAGCTTTAACGAGTTCTTAGTTAGGGGCACTTCCAGTTCCCTTTGGTTTTGGGAGGGGCGGTCAAAGGCTAGGATTTTGATGCTGATATATATATATATATGTCGATGATGTAGACCCCAACTACTTACTTCTGAAGCAAGGCCCAAGAAACAAAACAAAAACCAAATACGATCTAGAAAAGGAAGCTTTGGACAGCACAAAAATGGTCAAGGAAACGCAAAGCAAACAACGAAGTAACCAGGTAAACTTGTACAAAGACATGATTTGCAATCGACAAGTAAAGCAAAAAGGAACCAACAATTTCTTTGCAAAACTAATCACGTCAAAGCATGTATATACTATACTGTTTTGGTGTTCAACTTGTTTTTGTCCGCCTCAGTTTTTGTTGCTTGTTTTGTGTAATTTTTTGGATGGGAGGGCTCCAAGCTGTATTAGGCCTGGGTAACGATGCTAACGTTTCTATTCCAAAGCTTTGCACACCTAGGCCTAGGATCATGCCGTTAGGTGCCCTGACATGAGCACCTTGGTTTCCAGCATCAAACGTGAGGCATTGTGCGCTTCATCGCAGGGTGCCGACACAACGGCCATGTTGTGTATGTGCATTGTGCTGCAGGCATGACCAGCGGTTGCAGCTGTGACGGTTTGTTTCTTCTTGCCATCCGGTCCACAGCAAATTGCCAATGGCTAATGCGGCTCATCATAGAAGTCCATCGGGTCCGCCGGTGCTGAATACGAGGTCTCGACACATTTCAAGCGAACGAGACGAGTTCTTGACCTCCCCGTGCACCATGTGAAAAAAACACAAATTGAGCAGAGCCTTTTCAGTAGAGGGGTGGTTGGTGCGTGTTTGGTATGAAGTAGTAGTTACTGAATCCTGCAATGCCAGCTTTGATCCTGTCAGGAATCTCCCGAAGTTCAACAAGCGTTTGCGCATACTTAATGAGCCACTTGCGTCTCGACAGAGTAATTAGGGGCGTGTGAGTAGTTTGCAAAGATGAAGGCTGTAGCTAACGACAGATTTGAACCATTTGGTAGGTCAGCGCAAAACCATGCAGGGCACGGAATGTGCCTTTCACTTCGCCTTTTTCACAGCTCCGTGCAGCTACCGGGATCTATTTCTGTTAGCATTAGTCTGCTACCGTGAGCTGTTTGTCAAGGAACATCACTTTTGATCAAGCACTGACCTTCGTCTCGCACAAGCGCCCTGCTGTGTGTCCCAACGATGGCTTCCAACGGTGCCTTGTTCGCAGCGCTCTTGCATCAAACCTGGATGCCCAAATGTAGGTATTCTCAGTCAATGCTGGTTTCATGTTCGGTGCTGCTCCATTGTGTGGCAAGTGCATGAACAAACTCCATCAACTATCAACTCAATATGTACATAGATACACGTTTTTGCGTGTATAGCGTTGACCTTAGCACATGTATGCAGTTGATGAGGTTTTGCTTTTTGTTTGCTTTCAGCGCACTTCAGTCTCCGAGTTCAATGTAGGACGGCATGCATTAGAGAACAATACTATACAAAGGTTATTAAACATGGTTGTGTCTCCAAACATCTCAGTAGGGTAAATGTTAATATATTATTGCATGTTCTCGAATTTCCCAAGAGTCTCAAGAGATCCAACATGCAAAAGTTCTCAAAAGCTTGTTAGAGTATCAGGTGAGAAGCTTTTGGACATTTGAAAGCTTCCAGCGTTGCACATTAAGTGATTCTGCATTTATCCTGTTTGAAACTTTGCACACGTCCGCAGGATTTAGAAACACAGGGGGTGGACCCGTCTGCAAAGTGGGATAAAGACGCAGGGCAAATCTAGACATCAGCGCTCCTCCTTGTGCCTATCCAGTATTTTGGTCAAGACGGCAACGCCTTGCTGAGCCGACTCCTTTCACTTGCCTCTTCTAATAATAAAGCTTCCAATCTCTTCCCATAGGTTTGGTTTGGTTGTTGCCAAGCTGCTGTCCCTCTCACGAGAAAGGACTTGGCAGACGACATAACGTCAACCCTGCGGTAGACTTTATTAAGGAAGGTCGTGTTTAGTTATATACAGACAAACGCGAGGGATTGTCAGCCGTGGCGGTGTATACGCGTGCTTCTGTCCCCAAGACCTTATTTTATTCCCTGACTAGGGATTGATTCATCAGATGCGTGATCCCAAATGATGCAATTGTTCTTTGAACATGTTGAAATGTGTGCATGGGCTGGAACAACTATATTGAACTTTGGATCATGTCACTTGGCCGCTGCAAGTTAAGCCGACTCGTCCTGTTTGAACAGCTTCCTGACAAATACGAGAGACCCACAACAGTTGGACTAGGGCCCGACACCTCGAGACACCAGCCCATAGCACCCAACGAAGACAACGAAAGAGCAAGTGACACATTGTGCGATGCGCAAGTGACCCTCCTGCCACAACGGAAGGGCAGCATGTAGCAGTGCATGGCGGAGAAGGACAAACCATGTGTACATCTATATGTATAAATATATATATATATGTGTGTGTGTGTTGGCAAAATGGAACGGAGTTCTGGAATCACAGGCTTGCAAGAAATGATTCAGAGGCTGAGCAGCTTGAGCACCAGGCATTACACCGACTCAAACTCCAACATAAACCATTACCATCACCCACCATATACATCAACACTGAAAGCTTTTTGATCGCACACGTAGGAGGAGGTGCTCGGGATATTGTTCCTTGGTTGAACACCCTTTGGTCCGCCTGAGGCACGCTAACCGGTGCTATTGCACATATATACATATATATATATACATATATTTAATTTTATACATTGTTCTTTGTTTACTTACCTTTGGCTTTGATCTTTGATCCTTTTTTGTCTCTTTGCTGTACCCACAGCTCTGAATGTCTTTGCATGTTTGCAGTACATGTCTTGCCTTGGAAGTTCTCGGTTGAGGCAGCTGCGACGGTTCGAGACTTCAAACCAGCGCAAGACCTTGTCCCAGGACAGGTTTTAGGTGTGTTGAGAGATGGTTTCAGTGGACAAGTTTGATGGTATCCTTTGCAAGTGTTTCAACACCGTAATAGCTCCGACAGCAGCTCAATAGCCTATGCTATTGAAAGATGTTGAAAGCCACTTCAATCCAAGTGGTAGGGACGGAGGCCGGGACAAACCTACTACGCAGGAGATGCGCAGCATTTCAAACTATGAGGAGATACAGAAACATGATTTGGAAGCTTGGGTTGCATGAAGCTATGGAAAACGCGATGTCTTCGCAGCTCAAACAAATGCCAACCTAGGACTTGGTCTCACAGGCTGGCAAGAGTTGTTACTGAGCGGTCATGCAGTCAGTGAGGGGGGAGAGAGAGAGAGAGAGAGAGAGATGGAGAGAGAGAGAGAGAGACAGACAGAGAGACAGAGACAGAGAGAAAGATATAAATCACGAAAGAAAGAAAGACAGAAAGAACGGAAGAAAAGAAGAAAGGACGAAAGAAAGAAAGACATAAATATAAAGAGAGAGAGAGAGAGAGAAAGAAAGAAAGAAAGAACGCAAGAAAGAAAGACATAAAGAAAGAAATAAATAAAGAAAAAACAGAAGAAACGAAGAAAAGAAGAGAGGACGAAAGAAAGAACAAAATAAATATAAAGAGAGAGAGAGAGAAAGAAATAAAGAAGAACATAGAACAAGACAAACATTAAGAAAGAAAGAACGGAAGAAACGAAGAAAAGAAGAAAGGACAAAAGAAAGAACGACAGAAATATAAAGAGAGAGAGAGAGAGAAAGAAAGAGATAAAGAAAGACATAAATAAAGAAAAACAGAAAGAAAGAAAGAAAAAAAAGAACGGAAGAAAAGAAGAAAGGACGAAAGAAAGAAAGACAGAAATATATAAAGAGAGAGAGAGAGAGACAGACAGGCGGGCGGGCGGGCGGGCGGGCAGACCGAGGGAGGGAAGGAGGGAGAGAGGGAGGGAGGGGGAGGGAGAAAGCGAGAAAGCGAGGGAGAGAAAGCAAACAACATCACCATGCCAAGAAAAGAGACAGAGAGGTTTGTGTAGACCTACCAGGTATTGACAACCTTGTTTTCAGCGTTATGCTACATTTTGCCTGCCATGTTTCGGATGACCTTGGCAGGTGCTGGGTACGCGACGGGGCGAGGCCTTGGTCGACTGAGGATTCAGGGTCTTCCGAAGATTAGCCATTCAGCCAAACCAACTTGTCCGCAGTACAAACCTTGCAAGGTCTAAAGTCTAAAAGCATCTAAAAGCAGGTGTGCGGGAGCTTTTAAACTAGAGCTCTTAAGCCTGAGGGCTTACGTTGGATGGATGCGATTTATAGGCGACCAAGCATTGACTGGGCATCTGAGATATCACGTGCCTGCCAGGCTCGTGCGCCGTCCGCGTGTGGCACCCAGTCTGTCATGGAGAGTTTGGTGCCCACAAATGGCTTCCTCATCCCTCAAGATCCTCAAGTTCCCACAGATGGAAATGTGCTGTTCGCTGGTTCCATTCATGCGGATGTCCTGACGGCCCTGGAGAAGAACACGTTCAAATGAGGTTCG